ATCCACATATTTATCGTGATTAATCTAATCGATGGACATTATCAAGTTTAAACATAAATATAGATCTATTTATATATCTATGTATGTATATATTTTATATATAGTATATGTAATGTGTGTTATTTTCTGATATTTATTGGTATTATTATCCTTACTCTATTATTACCTTTATATATATATTCTTCCATTCTCTTCATGCGCCACCACTTTTGTTGTATTTCCTCTACCTAAAGGTTGTCTGTAAGAGATTGCTTCTTGTGATAAGACAGCCTTTTGTACTTCCACATATATTTTCTGTATAATTCTTATGTATTAATTCTATTAGTGCAATAAAGAGTTTATAATTAACATTATGTCATGAGAGATAACTAATCATAACAATAATTATAATTAAAGTCATTACAAGGAACTTACAACTGAAATAATCAACTAAAGATTATATCAATAAATGATCTGATATTGTGATATTTTGTTATCAAAATATTTCTTTTTTAGAGACAACTAACGCCATCTATTTCCTCTTAATGTTAGTTATTGCAACTATTGTCATAATAATGTAGTTTTGTAAAGAATTCAAAATAATTTACACAGGGGATTTCATTTTTTACTTGTACCTAATGGATCTACTGTGGGAACGTACAAATTAAACGGAGGTTCGATAGTTGGGTGTCTACCTTGTTTTTTCTCCGATTCTCTTACTTCTTCTGCTGCTCATAAACATGAAATGGCATCCAACGAGGATACATGGCAGGACACTTCAAAACACTATGTTATAATATTTCTTAGGAGAAATTACGCTCGCTTGCCAAACAACACATTGTTTGAGATGTTCCGGAACAGAGGCTATTAAAAAAAAAAACAAAAAACCTTCGTTGCTACATAAATACAAAAATTATTAAAATATATATTGTTGTCACTTCTACAAAATTATATTATCAGCAACACGGTCGTTATTTGTTGTCAAAATAAATTAGAGATGATACTTTTGTTGAAATACTTGTTTGCTGGATATTGCAATGTTTAATTTGTTGTATTAATGATATTAAAAATGATTAGAATGAATTTAATAGTGACGCCACGGAATGTTCGAGAAGAAGTGAAGAAATGTATATAAAGTTAAATAAAACAACATCGATGTTCCATGCGTGACGTTCCAAATTTGAATTTTATAATTTTATTTTTGTATTATGACGACCTCGATGGTCTAGCGGTCTAGCATCCCGCTTTACGTCCGATGGTCGCGGGTTCGTTTAATTGCACGGCACACATATTTGTATTCATGAGTATGATTGTTTGTATCGGTTTAGGTGTTTTCTATGTATAATCCTTGTATCGGTTATGTAGTACCCATAACACAAGCTTTACCTAGCGTAACTTAGGACTAGATGGCGCTGTGTGAATTGTCCTGAGATTATTATTATTATTATTATTAAATGTAATTATATGGCTATTTACGATCGCAAACAATACTTATTTTGATATATTGAAATAGAAACCTTTAACCTTTCAATAACGAGAGTGGACAGTATCAGACCCTGTCTCGGGACTCCTCCTTTTAATTCACTTTATTAATTTCATTTTCTTTGCATCCGATTCTGTACAATTATAATGAGATTTCATTCATCTAAACCCACGCGCCGTTCCGACGTCTAACAGAATATTTAAAATTGAAAAAGTTCCCCCAAATTTTTCTCTTCTCCGTACAAACTACAGTTTGGAGATGGACTTCAGAATAAAGGAATTCCTCTGCCTCTTTGAAGATAATCCAAATATTTAGTCCGTTATATTCTTACCGTTATTAATGTAAGTAGGTAATTTTATATATTGAAGAGATTCATCTTTTTATTCGAGATACATATTTAATTTAAAACACAATTAAACAGTAATGAAATGTAATTTACATTTGAAAAGTGTATGGTGTAAATTGAAATGTTATTAATTTTATAAACGCAAAAGTTTGTGAGTATTGGATGTTTGTTACTCTTTCACGCAAAAACTACTGAACGGATTTTGATGAAACTTTAGCGTAATATAGTTTATACATCAGAATAATATATAGGCTATAAATTTCATGCGGGTAAAATCGCAGGCACAGCTAGTAAATGTATATGTTTTGTTAATGTTCACGGACACTCTTTCCTCCATTGAATGAGGGGAATTAAAAAAGCCAGCGTTGTTAAGATCAAATGAAGTTGGTATCCATTTTAATAAAGTAACATAAAATTATTTTTTGTGTATATACTAGCTGTATATACACAAAAAAAAATTTTTTCTTACTAAATTCTTACTAAAAATATTATATTACATTAGGAAATGAAAGTTTGTCAATATGGATGAAAGGATAACGCAAAATCTACTGAACGGATTTTGATGAGACTTCTCAGTAATATAGCTTATACATCAGAATAACACATATAACCTTCACACGGGTGAAACTGTAACAGTTAGTGACATAGAATTTTATAGTTTTTAACGAATTTTCGTTTACAATTTGGTTATGATGAGTTTTATGTTTGACGTTATGAAACTCATGACCTATATAGAGAATATATCGTTGACGATAGCAGGTTCACTCCACATTCCACATTGAATACCAATATGCTCCGTGAAATGTTAAAATATAAATTGCTATGCTCATCACAATGGCAACACTCACTAAACAGTCTGGGAATACTGGGCCAATAATCCCATAGGGCAATGCATAGCCATACATAAATTTAATACCGAAGGTCTAGATCTAGAGGGAAGGTGATGGTTAGTAATTGGAACCAGTAACTCTCATTGCTAGCAATGTACCATGTTAGGTCGACCTCCACGCGGTTTCTCCTGTAAACCGTCGATAAAATCCTAGTGAATTTGTCACGATGGACTAACAGACCTGACCTCATGTTCATCTTATCATCCTCCACTGGTGCCAGCGTAAACCATTAGCGCAGGCGGGTGCACCATTCGATTTTCATCCACAAGAAAAAAATTCCGAATGTCCCCTACTGGGAGTAGAGTCGTGATCATATACCACTTAAAAATCACTACAAGTAAACAGAGATGGCGGCGGTGGCGTGTCGTTTGAAGGTCTTTCTATTCTTGTGACATTTATATTAAAAGTTTTCTTTTACCAGTATTCTGTAGCTTTTTTTTAACAGTATTCAGATTCAGCGAGAGACCGTATAAAAAATATACGAGCTCTACAGACCTTGTAACGTAATATTTAGAGGAATGAACATCACGGACGGGAACAAATTAATAGCAGAAAGTTCATAAAATAGGTCCTTATATAATAATAATCTCAGGACAATTCACACAGCCCCATCTAGACCCAAGTTAAGCTAGCTAAAGCTTGTGTTATGGGTACTAGACAACTGATACAAGTACGTAGAAATATATTTTTTCGTAAATACATACATATTATATAGACCTATTTACCTATGTTAGGTAAAATTATAGGTTAGTTCTTTCCCACCACTACCAATCAACCGCTTTCTGTTCTTCTGTTCTTATTGGTTAGCTGGTAGAGAATGCCATATGGCATTAAGCTCGCCAAATTGTACAATTTTTATATATAGAAAACACCCAGACTGATACAAACAATCATACTCATGAATACAAATGTTTGTGCTGTGCGAGTGCGAATCGAACCCGCGGAAAGTAAGGCGGTGAGCTAAACCGCTAGTACACCGAGGCAGTTGTTCTGGGCAGTAGGTCCATATTATACATTTAAAGCTATTATAAAAAATAATGTCAAGATTCTGATTTCAGACATTGAGAATATTGATTACATCGTGGTTGATTCGAGGCCTTTCCGATCTCTCTCCCGTTAAATTACGACGGCCTGAGCCGAGGTTCAGATTCGAACCGTGAAAATTGTTCCTATTATCAATATAATTTACAATTTATTGTATTTTTTGTTATATATTGTAATAGGTAGATTGAAGAAGTTACATCGCAAAAGGTCGTGCCACCAAATATGAACTATAACTGAAAACTTTCGCGCGTCAGCTTTTTCTCGTTAACTCTTGGGAGATGCAAAATAAGAAACTAAATTAATACAAAAAACCGATTGCGGAAAGAATCGTCTAAAACCAAAATGCGTACGATTTGTATCACAGAAATAAATACAACATACAACAATGTTTAGTTCTCGTGAAGATATTGGGAAAATATGTAGCAAAGGAGAGGGAATCACTTCTTTTATTAGATCATTTCATAAACACAGTGAAATTGTCGATTTCGTTCGTGTCAGTGCCTACCTAGGCAGATTGGATTTTCAGCGGATGTTGTTACCGTGGACTGCCGACAGCGGCGCGTCGCGTCGGTGTGTCGGAATGTCGGTGTATCGGTGTGTCGGCGTGTCGGTGTGTCGGCGTGTCGGTGTGTCGGTGTGCCTGACCTCGGCAACGATCGATACCTCGTTAATATCGTACCGATCGCAATCGGATGCCCTCTCACATGTAACGGATGTGACATGCTTCAGCCCGCTTCTCATTTACCTGCACGGTGGCAATTATTTTATGATTGTGTAAAACTACGGACAACTATTATTCTCATGCCTCAAATAATGCTATATTTACCAATTAGGCAGTGTTTTACCTATAATGGTAACATTTTTTAGCAAATTCGTTGCCGTTTTGACTAAATATTAATTTCTGAATAAGATTTATCAAAATAAATTTAACGTAAACGCGAATCCGCGACCATCGGTAGTAAGACTGTGTGCAAAACCACTAGACCATCGAGACCGGACATAGTCAATGTACTTCTGTTTAAAAACAACTTTCAAATTAAACCAATGAAATAAAAAGTCATTTATATGTTGTACTAATATTTTTTCCCTACGGTCCAGTTCATTATGTAGAATTTCAAATGAGAAACACTGGCAATAAACTCAACTGAATTTTTTTTAAGTTACAACTATCTGAAGTTGAATATATTTTCGTAGGCTATAAGAGAAAGCAAGTTTGTAAGTATTGGGGTGTAGTAACTAAAATGTTGTTTGTTTGCAGGACACGAGGACCCACGTGGTGGTGGAACTGTACGAGACAGAGAAGTCGTACGTGGACGCGTTACAGATACTAGTCAAGGTACGTACACCACACCTCCCATACATACATACCCCTCCGATCGATCCCCCGTACAATTCGAACGAAGATCAAAATTACGACGGCCTGAGCCGAGGTTCGAACCCCAGTGGTGCCCTCAGGCTAAAGTCATATCCGTCAGGCGGGAGTTGGTCTTCAGCCGCTCCATAAGTCCTTCCTTTGGTTTGGAGTGCCATCTGCACTCGCCCCTTATCGTCCGGTGAAGCTGCAAAGGCCAGCTGCGGCCAACAGCATTAGAGTAGTTAAAAAAAGTTAAATGAAATAATATAAATTCATTAGTTAATCTGTGTTGCTATAATTAATATATCAATTGAAATGTATGATGCTATTTTATGTACTGTCAGGTTATATATGTATTGTAGAAACTGTTAGTACATCCTTCTCTGATCCTCACTATCTATCATTATATATATGAAATTCTTGTCTCAAATAAAAATATAGATATTTTCCATTCAACGCTGGTCCAATTCCAGAGACAATTAAATTTCCACCGTAAACAAATTATATTTAATACTAGCTGAACCCGTGACTTCGTCCGCGTGGAACTTAACTTTATTTTTTTTAAATAAAATTAACCTAAGTTACTATGTAATAAGTACTTCAGCTACCTGCCAGAAAAAGTCCCGTCATATTCGATCCAGCCATTTCAGAGATTAGCCGGAACAAACAGACAGACAGATAAAAATTTTAAAAAATGTTATTTTGGTGTATGTACCGTATTTATATATGCATGTAGTAAAAAACGGTTATTTCAATATTACAAACAGACACTCCATTTTTATTTATATGTATAGCTGTACCAATTTTTTTTTAATATAAATAAAATTCTGTGAACATTCATAGCATTACATAGTTATATATTATTTTCTATTTAGTTTACTTTTTATTATATAACCTTATCTAGCGTATATTGCATGCGTCTATATAATTTATCTTTTAGGCATATATAGTATAGTGTTGGATTACAATCCAGTTTTGTACCGAACTACACGCTTATAATTATGTTATTATATTGATTGTAATCTGTTTTGTTTGCTAATAAATTCAAATTCAAATTCAAAAATCATTTATTCATGTAGGACATTTTAGCCGCTTATGAACATCAAGTGTTTCATTTTTTTCCCTACCGCCCTGTTCGGTATATAGATCCACTATAATTGAGAAGAACTGACAAGAAACTCAATTGAATTACTTATTTTTTAAAAGCCAGTTTATTTACAATGTATATTTATATAGGTGTCTATGTCTAACATTAAATGAAAATCCCGTGCATGAACAACTATTGTCATGCACGCTCGTCATTCAAGTAATCGTTTAGTTAGTAATAGGCTTTGCTTTAATAAATATATATATATATATATATATATATAGTGCCGACTAACGAGGGAGACGTATCACATAAATTCAAACGAATGAAAGTTGTCCCTTTTTGAATTTTTCTTACGCAATCGCTTCACTTTCTATACAAAGCGTATTGAATTTTATCGCCGCCATAAATTATCAATTGTCCGCAACACCCACCAATTACTGTACCCGTACTTTCGCCACTCTCGCAGCCTCCGTCCGGTGCTGCGCCGTAAAATATGATCATAGGTCAGCGTGTGCGTCTGTCTGGTCCAAATTAACTGCGGAGTGACAAATTCATTATAACAGGACATGTTAATGGCGCCGATATATCAGCGCTGGTTGCGTCCTGCGACTTTGTCTCGTTTGCTCCTTTGTTTCCATTCTCCATATATACACAGTCATACTCAACACGTTCAAATAATCTATAATTTGTGATCTTTTTGTATTATATATATTTGTTTGTTAGAAACTAGCTATTCGTCTCGGTTTCGCCCGGATGTACATGTATTATACATATAAACCTTCCTCTTGAAGCACTCTATCTATTAAAAAAAACCGCTTCAAAATCCGCTGCGTAGTTTTAAAGATTTAAGCATACATAGGGACGGACAGACAGCGACAGCGACTTTGTTTTATACTATGTAATGAAGGGCCACGCTCTTGTCGGTGGAGTTTTGGCCATCTCATCTTTGATCAAATTACTTTACATTTTTAAATGTTGATACAAAACGACTCCAATTTCGATTTTAAATTCAATGTTTTGAAAAACTAAACGTATTGTGAATAATTTATTTTCCGTTTATATTATTTGCGGTGAATTGATTGTGGATCGGACGGCCGAGTTCATTTTTCATTTTCACCACTGGACACATAATACAAAAGTCAAAGGTTGCGTTAAATGTTCTGCCACTGTCCTAGTATCGTGTGTATGTGTGTGTGTGTCTGTGTGTGTGGGCGCTCTGTGCGATGTGACGTTGTGCGTCGTTTGCTTTATTCAACTGTCAAACTACTGAACTTTGTTGCAAACTTTTGCAGACAAACCGTTCCGGGATATCACGAAATTCACGAATTCACTTTAGACAGAATAAACTATAACTACGCAGTAGAAAATAAGAGTATAAGGTTAAATTATTGTTTGCTGGAGGAATATTGCTATGTTTTATATGTTACTAGCTGTTGCCTGCGACTTAGTCTGCGTTTCCGTCGTTTTTCGTAAAATAAGTAGCCCATGACCTTCCTCACGGTTCAGTGGTTTTGATGTGTATTCCTAACATTTGCCTTCACAAAATTTCAAAAAATATGACCATTCAAAAATGCTTGTGTTGGATTTATAATCTTTAATTATTACTATTGGACATAAGCGTTTATTTTATCAAAGTTGACAAAGCCTATTCACTAAACGATTACTTAAATTACGAGCGTGCATGGCAATAGTTGTTCATGCACGGGATTTTCATTTAATGTTAGACATAGACACCTATATAAATATACATTGTAAATAAACTGGCTTTTAAAAAATAAGTAATTCAATTGAGTTTCTTGCCAGTTCTTCTCAATTGGATCTATATACTTAACTGGGCGTTTATAATATAGTAAATAAAAATGTTTTGGACATTCCACTTACGCCGCTAGATGGCGTTACTATGTAATGTAAAACGCGCTATTAAGATTTTTTTGTGCTTTTATATAGTCAAACGGAATGTTGGTATCTGAACCCCTTCTGATTGATCCCCGTAATTCAAACGGGGATCGATATTACGACGGCCTGAGCCGAGGTGCCCTCAGACTAAAGTCGTATACGTCAGCCGGTAGTTGGCTTTCAGCCGCTGCAGCCTTCAGTAGTTGTTCAGGAGTGTAGTGAAAAAATTAAAGTACAAAATAAAATTGATTTGACGTTCATAAGCAGTTAAAATGTCCTACATGAAAAAGTGATTTTTGAATATAAAATTTGATTTACGTAATGTGCACTAAGAAGTAATATGTACTAGGAAGTAGCAATTGATTATTTTCTATTTTACTAAGAACAGCGATAAACAAACCAATTTTCTTTGAATCTATGGGTTGGTTGATCTCATGATACCGTATTGATTGTTTACATTTTCCGTTTGTAATGCAATGCATTGAGAATTTTCAGAATAAAGTACACATGCATAAAATATAATACATACGGACGGACAATATATCTTTAATAATATCGGATTTATATTGACGACCTCGGTGGTTTAGTGGTTTAGCACACCGCGTTACTTCCGATGGTCACCGGTTCGCTTCCTCCGTCATTTGTATTCATGAGTATGATTGTTTGTATCGGGTGTATCTGAGTGTTTTCTATATGTAATATGTATGTATTTGTGTCAGTTGTCGTACCCATAACACAAACTTTAGGTAGACTTGGGTCTAGAGATAGCGCTTTGTGATAATTCACAGGATAATTCTTGAGATTATTATTATTATAATCGAGAAATATCTTAAGATTTACTGTTAACTAGCTACGCACCTCGGCTTCGCCCGGGTGTATATGTATTATACATATAAACCTTCCCCTTGAATCACTCTATCTATTAAAAAACCGCTTCAAAATCCGTTGCGTAGTTTTAAAGATTTAAGCATACATAGGGACGGACAGCGACAGCGACTTTGTTTTTTACTATATATATATAATGATTCATATGCATGCAATCAATCATCAATTAATCTATACAAATCTATACATATAAATAAAATTGGAATGTCTGTTTGTAATATTGAAATAACCGTTTTTACTACATATGCATACGGTATATATACCAAAATAACATTGTTTACAATTTTTGTCTGTCTGTCGGTCTGTTTGTACCGGCTAATCACTGAAATGGCTGGTCCGATTTTGACGGCACTTTTATTGGCAGGTAGCTGATGTAATAAGGAGTAACTTAGGCTACTTTATTTTAGAAAAATAAACTTAAATGACACGCGGACGAAGTCGCAGGAACAGCTAGTAATGTATACAACAATGATCATACTGACAAATCTATTATAGTACGTAGGTGTAATCACATAGCTACAAGAAGATAATCTAAATATAAACTGAATGCATCATCGGTCGTAGTGTGCTGACGTGCAGTATATAATTTTTTGCAGAAATATCTCCAACCACTCAAGAGTCCGGAGAACTCTGGACTCTTGGACGCTTTCCTGGTGGATGAGATCTTCTACCAAGTGCCGGCGATCTTGAACGTGCACCAAGTGTTCCTGGAACAGCTGAGATGTCGCCTCGAACAATGGGATCTGCAGCAGAAAGTTGGCGACGTGTTTTTAGAAGTGGTGAGATATTTAGATAGATAAATGCTTCATTCAACAATCACAAACAGACAGACATACGTGAGACATAATTTTATAAATATAAATAAAGTTTATAAATCAAAAATGCAGGAATATAAATATTATATATTACATTGAATTTACAAATACAAATACATTAAAGTACTAGCTGTGCCCATGGTTTCACTCGCTTTAATTTCAATAAAAGATATAGCCCATAAGCTATATTACTGTGAAGTTTCATCAAAATCCGTTCAGTACTTTGTGCGTGAAAGAACAAACATCCATACTTACAAACTTGCGCGTTTATATTATAATATTAGCTACTCCCGGCTTCGCCCGGGTGTACATGTATTATACATATAATCTACCTCTAGAATCACTCTATCTATTAAAAAAAACTGCTTCAAAATCCGTTGCGTAGTTTTAAAGATTTAAGCATACATAGGGACGGACAGACAGCGACAGCGATTTTGTTTTATACTATGTAATGCTTAAGATTACGATTTAGTAGTAACTGTGTACAAGTTATATGAAAAATATATATATATATAAAGAGCTTGTTTAATGTTCTAATTTTAAAGAACTGCAAATATAATTTCAGTTTTCCAAACCCACCGTGATGGAGACGTACATGTCTTTCATTTGCAACCTGAAGAAGGCGAAAGAGACCATCAAGTCTGCGGCGGCGTCGCGGCCGGCCTTCGCACGGTTCCTGGAGGCGATGGCCCGCGAACACAAGGGCAAGCTCGCGCTCGACAACCTGCTCATCAAGCCCGTGCAGAAGTTCCCTGGGTACAAGCTGCTCATACAGCGGCTCGTCAAACACACAGGTACACCACCATCTACCAGCCACTCGATTGGTTTCCATAACTCCTTACAAAATCGGTGAGATTGTTAGTAATGTAGTCCGCATTACTAAGCCGACTTGGGTTTTTTTTTGTGTGATAATGGAATGGTGCACCCGCCTGCGCTAACGGTTTACCTGGCGGGGCACCAGTGGAGGCTGATAAGGTAAACATGAGGTCAGGTCAGTTAACCCATCGTGGCAAATTCCCTAGGAATTTATCACGATGGCTCCCAGTAGGAACCTCGTGAGCTGACATGGGTTCTAACCCACGATGTATAAATCTAAATATATATAACTTAAAGGTGACTGACGTAGTGATCTATCAATGCACAGCCCAAACCACTGGACGGATCGGGCTGAAATTTGATGCATGGAAGGGTATGCAGGTCGATGTTATGATGTAGGCATCCGCTAAGAAAGGATTTTGATTAATTCTACCCCCAAGGGGATAAAATAGGGGATGAAAGTTTGTATGAAACTTTGTCAATTTTAAACCGATCGGGCTGAGACTTTGCATGCATAAAGCTACTATGACGTAGGCATCCCCTAAGAAAGGATTTTGATAAATTGAACCCCCATGGGGATAAAATAAGGGATGATGCAGGATGTAAATGTATTAGTACCTAATGGAACGAATAAATTTAACGAAATGAAAAAAAGAAAAACAGTAATAATTTTTAGATCTTTAGGCTACTTTTATTTTAGAAGAATAAAGTTAAATTACATGCGGACGAAGTCGCGGGAACAGCTATATATCTCCTTTAAACGCCACGAGACATCATATGTGGGTTGTAACCCACATATGATGTCTACTGGCGTTTTCTCTTCCATTTCGCAAAATCTTGAAAACTTTGTTAAGTACAATTCTAAGTTTGTGGGAAAGAAAATTGTTAGTAATGTAGACTGAATTTGAATTTGAATTTATACATCTAAATAATATTGGAGTGTATGTTTGTAATACTAAAATAACAGTTATTTACTACATGCATATGAATATAAATACGGTACATACACCAAAACAACATTTTTTCAATTTTTGCCTGCCTCTCTGTCTATCTGTTTATTCCGGTTAATCTCTGAAATGGCTGGACCAATTTTGACGGGACTTTTATAGGCAAGTAGCTATGTAATAATGACAGTAACTTAGCCTACTTTTCTTTTAGAAAAACAAAGTTAAATTCCACGCGGGTACAACTAGTTACTTATTCTTCTTGTGAAGAAACAGCTTTCCGAGTAAGCTGTAGATTTAAAAAAAATTGTTACTATTCAAAAGTGCTTTAATTAAGTTTATTTGAATAAATGATTTTCTATTCTATTCTATTCTAGTAATAATTTAAAAAGGTGCATCATGAACACCGCGTGTATTTGCTTTATGGATGTTCTATTTCCGGAGCGACATTCTCGTTTCACGTACGTCGTTTGACTATTGTGGTGGTTTCCATAACGTCAACGTTGAAGTAAACAGGTTGCAGCATCTCGTGCTATTATTAATGACCATAACAGATGAATTATGAAGATAAAAGTGATTGTACGTTATTATGTGTTTGGACGTGGGCAATGATCGTATGTTGATAGCAACAATATAAGAAAATTTTATTGTTTTATACATAAATAGCTTTTGCCCGCGGCTTCGCTCGTATTAATTTATCCCCTTAAGGGTGGAATTTATCAAAATCCTTTTTTAGGGGATGCCTACGTCATAGTAGCTTTCTGCATGCAAAGTCTCAGCCCGATCGGTTTAAAATTGACAAAGTTTCATACAAACTTTCATCCCCTATTTTATCCCCTTAGATTAATTTCAGCCCGATCCGTCCAGTGGTTTGGGCTGTGCATTGATAAATCACTATGTCAGTCACCTTTGAGTTATATATATTTAGATATTCAAAATTGTGGATTTAAACTGTTGCAATTGAACATTTTTAGCAATAGCGTATCTATTAAAAGCAACCACTTCAAAATTTAAGCATACAGGACGGACAGACAGCGACAGCGACTTTGTTTTACACTATGTAATGATAATGCATAATCTTTTTTTTTAGTCAAAAACGAACTGTTGTACTTGTAATAAAATGTTTAATATCTGAGATATAATTATTTATATATATTGTATTACAGATCAATCTCATCCCGATCACAAATACCTACTGGATGCTCAAAAGGAGATTCTAGAGTTACTTGAGTTGATAAATTGCACAGAGAGGGAAAGCTTAGAACAAGAACAGCAGCAGCAGACCCTGAGGGAGCTGGAACAGGTGATCGAGGGCCTGTCCAACCTGGCCGCCGCGGACAGGACCTTCCTGAGACACGAGCCCGTCACCATGCCGGCCGCGCAGGGAGCAGTCAAAGACAGGGCACTGTTCCTGTTTAACGACACGTTGCTCATAACCAGCGTCAAGCGTAGGACGGGTACCATAAAGAAACCCATTCCGTAAGTTGTGATCAATTTGTAAACGTGGTCAAAGTTTCTTTAGTAAAGGATATTTACTCCTAATTAGAATTAGGCGTAAATATCCTTTAGAAAAACCATAAGCACTATGGGGGGATTTTCTCTAAAGGGGGGAAAACATTTGTGCCACAGTATAGATACAGCAGTGTTTAGTAGATAATATTGGATTTGTTTTCAACATCATCTGCTTCTTCCTTATTCCATTTATTTGTGGTCGTAATATGTTTTTCTCTTCCATTCATCCCTGTTCGCAGTCATCTCGTTATTCACTTCTTTTCTTACCATATCATCTTTCACACATCCCACCCATCTCTTTTACTGCCTTCCTCTGCCCTTATAACCATCCACATTCATTTGTAACACCTTCCTTAAAATATGATCTTCATTCCTACGCATTACATGTCCATACCATGATAGACAATTACTCTTCAACCTCTCCGACACCGGCGCCACTTTCATACTTCCTCTAATGTATTAATTCTTTATCTTATCCATTCTTGTCATACCACACATCCACCTCAACATTCGCATTTCAGTTGCATGCAGTCGTCTTTCATCCATCGCCTTTACGCCTTGGATTTGTCTTACTAGCCATTATTAAATGCAATTATTATTTTGATGTGCCTAAGGAACCCATAGGCGTCATCTTTTACTTTTTGCTTATTTTGGATGACGCGGGGGGGGGGGGGGGGGGGGGGAGTCTAGAAGATGATTACGTTATCGGGAGTTATTTACTTTTTTACACGAATGGCAACTCTCACATTGTCTTTGCTAAAAACAAAATACATTAATTGAAAAATGTTTACGTCAGCATGGGGAGAGGGGATAAGAGCTTTGCTTACTTTCGCTGACAAGCTGAGTAAATCTAAATATATATAACTCAAAGGTGACTGACGTAGTGATCTATCAACACACAGCCCAAACCACTGGACGGATCGGGCTGAAATTTGGCATGCAGGTAGATGTTATGACGTAGGCATCCGCTTAGAAAGGATTTTGATTAATTCTACCCCCAAAGGGATAAAATAGGGGATGAAAGTTTATATTAAACTTTGTCAATTTTAAACCGATCGGGCTCAGACTTTGCATGCACAAAGCTACTATGACGTAGGCATCCCCTAAGAATGGGGATAAAAATAAGGATTTTGATAAATTCCACTCCTAAATTAACGCGAGCGAAGCCGCGGGCAAAACCTAGTAATTGTAATAAATCTGCTTACGTAATACTTGAGCGGCACCTATGCTTCTGTTACAGAACGTACCAAACTAACATCGTAAGTCAAATGGAAGGCAATAAATACAAGTTATTGATGAGGATCTCGCTGGCCGACCTCGAAATAGTCACAGGTAAGATTCTCAGTTTCGATATTGTCACTACAATTTTTTAAGATTTCATAAAATGTATTTTTTAATTATAATATAATATATCTCTTTACAATTCATTCAATAATCCCAATGGTAAGCAGAAATTGTGGTACTAAATAACTACAATAAACTAAAATATATGACGACAATAAATAATAAACTTAGAAAACACTCAGATCGATACAAACAATGATACTCATGAATACACATGTTTGTACTGTTCGAACTCGCGATCATTGGAAGTAAAGCGATGTTCTAAATCGCTAGTCCGCCGCGGCTGTCAGTAAAGTTAAATTAACGCTTGGAATTCTAATTAATTATTTGATGGCCTCGGTGGTCTAGCGTTTAGCACACCGCCTCACTCCCGATGGTTGCGGGTTCGATTCCTCACACGGCACATACATTTGTATTCATGAGTATGGTTGTTTGAGTCGGCCTGGGAGTTTTCTATGTACAGTATGTACGTAATTACAAAAAAAATCGATGTATTCGTATCAGTTATTTAGTACTCATACACAGCTTCAGATAGCTTAACTGGGGTCCAGATGAGGCTGTGTTAATCGTGCTGAGATTATGATTGTCGTATAAACGTGTCGGTATGGGCGTGGTCCCGCAGCGAAGGAGGAGAGCGCGCGGCGCGTGGCGGCGGAGGTGGCGGCGCTGCGGGCGGACGTGGGCACGCTGGCGCGCATGGCCGAGCTGGCGGCCGGCCTCCACGCGGCCGCCGCCCGCGCGCCGCTCGACGACCTCCTGCGGGCGCACCTCGCCGCGCTCGGCCGCCAGCTGGCCGCCCGCCACGCCGCGCACTCCGAGCTCTGCTGCCTCGAGCTCGCGCCGTACGTACCGCGCGCACGTGGCCGCCGCCCACACCCGACGCCCGGCGACAACACTCCTCTATCATTCTTTGAGCCACTTTACGTTCTCCCGCACGTAAAGTTGCCCAAAGAATACGAGAAAGAGTATGCGCCCGCTCGTGATCTCCCGCGTCCTTAAAAGAAATCATTTATAATTGTATTGATTTTTTTTTATGTTCATTCTTTTACGCATGTTTATTTTCAAGTCTATAATTATATCTTCACCATTTTGCGATAATAATTAATTCTTACAAAATGGTATTAAAACTTGCAAAGTAGCAATCAACTTGCAAGGATTCAGGATTGCGCGAATTCCCAGTGCTTGCGACTGTTCTAGTTCTCTTTGTACATAAATGCATATTCTTTCCGACGTAATGCAAATTGCACGTGAAAAGCATACATGTAAACGCAACATTTGGTATTATAAATCTTGCCTCGTCGATTTTTCATCGTACTACTTATGAGCCTTTTTAATGTTTTCCAGGAATGGAGCAGAAAATTTCACTGTCATTTTCTCAAAACCCGAAAAAAGAAGCAGCTGGGAAGAGTTAATTAACGAAACCAAACAAAAACTATGTGAGTAGCGTGAATTTCAAAGTATTATGCGACTACAGTTAGGGATGTCGACTCTCCTGCAATAGTGATTTTAATATGTTTTGGGTATTTCTAAAAAAGAAAAAACTCACTGTGCAGTATTGAAAATAAATGGTCACGATTGTTTTTTCATTCCTGGCTCTGCTTCATGTAACCACTAATCAGCATGACAGAGCAAGTGTGTTGCAAAGAAAGAAACCGAATGCGTATGTCTTCAGTAAAAGCGAAGTTATAAGTAGTACCCCGTGAACGATCGCTCAATCATGATCGCATGATGACCTTGACCGATTAAGTCAAAACAGTCAGTAGGGAGAAATGGCGAGTTGTCGTATGGGGGTTAACATCTGCCTTTCACAATGCTACATAGAAATCACGACCGGTGTGTCAAGAGTGGATCCAATAATAAGAAGGACAAGTAAAAGTCGGTTTCCGGTAAAAACCGACAAATGTTAGATAAAAAACAAACCCCGAAAAATTTTATGTTTAAGAATTTTATCGTCTTCCTGCTTTTTTAACTTTTTAACGAAATATTTAAATCAGATTTGCCCAGCTGTATGAGAGGGTGCGGACGCGACTTTGAGATTTTTATTCACTAAAACTCCTCGGTGTTTCTAAACACCGCGATTAATGATGGACTCTGCACCGTCGGACGCATGGGAGCATAAAATTTGGCCCCAAGCCTGCTGCGTTCTCTTTGGCGGAACAGCTTCGGAGCGTGGGTACGGGGACTACTCGGTCCCCACCCTGTACGGTCCCACTCCACTGAGCTTTGGATCAGAGCAGCGACTGTACCTTCAGCGACGCGAGTGACACGTGTGTGGTTGCAGGCGCGGGGGAGGGCGGGGGCGCGGGCGCGCGGCCGGCGCCGCAGTTCCTGTCGCCGGTGCCCATCAGGAAGACGCGCGCCGGCCTGCAGTTCACGTGCGCCGCCCCCACGCGGCCGCCGCCCGGACACCCGCCCGCCGTCTGGGTGAGTCCTCCTCCTCCACTGTCGCCGGACGCTTGACGTCGCTCTGATGATTCCCGATGCGGATGCTGTCGACTTCCGAGCGACGCGGAACGCACCTGGACGACGTATAATTTTATCAAGTTTGATACGACACGACGCATAGCGAGACCTCTAGATAGAATCTATCTAGAGGTCTCTCTCATAAATTCTTTTGAGAAGTTATTTCATCACGAAGATTTCCGGTTCTGGTCATCCGCTAGCACTCACGGGCCGCCCGCACGATACGGGCCTCCAGCAAATGCACCTTACTTGAGCATTCAGTTGCGGGGAACAGCTCTAGCGTTGTTCTTACGAGCCTCATGGCGAAACCGGCTACCGTTATGCAGCCGGTTTAGGGAACCAAAAGAAAGGGTGGTAATGGCGTTCGCTAGGCCGACTTTGGCCGCCGCCCTGCGACGGCCTTAGCGTTCGGTCGGGTCGATGATGATGATGGTGACGGTGAGGTGTGCGTGTGCAGGTGTGCAACAGCGACGGGTACGTGGGGCAGGTGTGCGTGCTGACGCTGGGCGCGCGGCCGCAGGTGTCGTCGTGCAACGGCGTCTGCAACGCGCGCATCCTGTGCGTGGCCTGCGTGCCCGCGCCCGCCCCCGCCCCCGCCCCCGCCGCCGCCGCCCCCGCCCCCGCCGGCCCCGCACACGACGCCGCCGCCCATCTGCTCACGTGAGTAATCTTCAATCTGGACTAAGCACGAGCTGAGTTTCTTGTCAGTTCTTCTCATCTCGAAATCATTCCGAACTGACGGTAGATTTGACATATCATAAGTCTGTAATAGACCTACATGAATAAAGATATTTTGAATTTGAAATTCTGGGTATTTTTTAAAACTAGAATTCGCTTGCGAGGCACCAGTCAAGCATATTAAAATAAAAATAAGGTCAGGTCAGGGTTATACCATTCGCCGTTATTTAAGATGATATTTTCCAGGAGGAATCGCATGGCGGTCAACTGACCTGACCTGATGGTACACTGCTAATAATGGAATTATTAATCCACATTATTAACGATCCCCTTTCCTCCAACACTCAGTATTTGATTCTTGGCTGCGTCTTCAATGCACATTACGCCATTATCAGAAAATGCATGTTGATCTATATTAATACTTATTAATACGTAATATTATATCATATATTAGATCATCATGTCTCGTTCATCATGAATCGTATGTACGTTGCAGGAGTACGAGCTCCTTGAACAGCATCAGCTCGGTTAAACCCGGCATCAGTATATCGGACCCCGACGACAGCTGTAAAAATATACGACTCGACAGGTATTATATTGTCTATCTTTTTTCTCAATTTTCTCGTATATCTGTTATTTGCTATACTAATATCAGTTGCAGGTGTTTTGTCAGTTACTAATGTGTTTTGGAGGATAATTTTGGCCGGGTTATGCCCCGTATTCTGTCTTTGCATCTTTGTCTTTATATTCGGTCATACCTTGCGTGCTCTATCAATTTCCAACTGAAGGTTTACAGTGACCGTAATGTCACGTTGCAGTTCGTCGTCGAGCGAGGAGGAGGACGAGGGCTCGTCGACGAGCGAGACGCAGGAGGCGGAGTGTCCCGGCCCCCCCGCGGGCCCGCCCCCCCCGCGGCCGCCCCCGTCGCACGCCAAGAGCCTGAGCTCGCCGCACACGGGCCGCTCGCCCGCGCCCGCGCTGCCCGTCGTCAAGTCCAGCTCCAACCCCGCCGTCGACAAGACGCCCATGGGGGTCGCCGCAGGTACGCTTAGCTTCTTAGCGTTCCATGGATTCACCGCAGGGAAGCTCCGACCAGCTTCCGGGACTCGTGACCCGGGTGTAGTGTAAGGGGCCCGTCGCCGACGTATCTCCACACTCGCCTTTACCGCTCGCGTTTCTCTCCCTGCACGTTCAAATCCGCTAGTGCAGCTTTAAATACACGTTCTATTATATTATCCAGTGCAGTTTCAAATAGGCCAAGATCTTTTAGAAGATTGTAAAGAGTTTTTGCTGGTATACCTCCCGCCCTCACTTCGACCCCATTTAGATTAACAACCTTAACTCTTACGAAAAAGCGTGTAGCAATAGGGATACTCGTAAATAATAGAATACTTTTCATTTCATCGTTCCAACTATTTATTGATTAAAACTTTAATAATACGCGTGGAGACGAACCTATGACTATTGGAAAGATAGACAGTGTTCACTATCACTATACCGTCAAGAAATGTTTACTTCATGAGTGGTCATTGTCTCATTACTACAGGTGCCATGGGAGGTGGTGCGGGTGTCACGGGGGGTGCGGGAGGTGCGAGCGAGGACCGGTTCCAGCCGACGATGTGGCTGGGCACGGAGGACGGCTGCGTGCACGTGTACAACTGCGGCGACAACGTGCGCCTCAAGAAGAACAAGCTCAAGCTGCACCACCCCGCCGCCGTCCACTACATACTGTGAGTACCGCACCACACCACACACACCACCACACTATTTTATCTTAACACATAATTGGCCACGATTCATGGTAAACTTAAATCCTTAACTTATTTCTTTCTACTGTCTGTTGCAGGTATATTGAAGGCAAAGTGTTCGTAGCTTTGGGAAACGGAGAACTTGTAGTGTATTGCAGAGATATAGGTAAGTTTAAATTTATTTTTCGCTGCTAAAACAGATACACTTTATTTTTTTAACATTGAGGACACCATAGGGGTGTACAAAAATTTTAAAAGACAATAATGTGTTCAATAATATAAACACTATTGTCGTGATTAGATTATTTTGGGTTGAGATAGACCAAATAACAGTCTGCAGAACAGAATTGTTCAGAACTTGGTTCAGAATAAGAATTGTCGATGATCTTGATCGCCAGAGAGTATCGAACCACTTAGCTTGAGCAGAGACATCGCTTCGCTTTATGTGTTCCACCGAATATACAACGGACTGTTCTGAGGAAATGTTCGACATAAAGCCTACGGGTACTTTTACCCTCGCACTACTTGCCATCGATAGGGAATTCATCTACACACGCTAGAACCTAACTGGTCTCGGACAGTGCGGTTTCAGAGGAACTTCCGCCTGCGTACGCTTAGATTTTGGAATGAACTACCGCATAAGGCACATAATTAACGCAGAATGGATGAAGTGGCGGCAGGTTACGGATACGACGTGTGACTCTATCTTTATCTGAGTGCTGGTCCTTAAAACGAACGGATGAAAGACGACTGCATGCAACCGAAATGCGAATGTTAAGATGTGTGTATGGTGTGACAAGAATGGACAAAATAAAGAAGGAATACATTATAGGAAAGTAATAGTCATGCTATGGGAATGTAATTGCTTAGGAATGAAGAGAATACTTTAAAGGAAGTATTACTAGCTATATACTGGCTGGTTTTAAGGAAGGCCGAAAAAGAGATGGATGGATCTGTGAAAGATGATATGGTAACAAAGAGAGTAAATAACGAGATGACAAATGGGTGGGATAAGGATGAAGCAGGTGATAACTTTCCAGGTCCATATATTTAAGAAAACGCTGGATTTTGACTCGTTATATCGGTTGTACCGCTCGGGGCCAAGTGGCGTCCAGACCACGTGGCAGACCACGTCCAGAGCACGTGGCAGACCTCTTGAATGCAGGTATTTGTTTCGCAGACGGTGCGTGGGCGGAGCGCGCGCGGGTGTCCCTGGTCGCGGGTAACACGGGGAGTGCAGGGGGCGGCGCGGGGGGCGCGGGCGGCGCGGGGGGCTCGGGGGCCATCGCCGGCATGCTGGTGTGGGGCGGCCGGCTGTGGTGCGCCACCAACTCCTGCATCAAGATCGTCGACCCGCACACGCTGCAGGTAACACTCCTCACGTTCACGGTAGGCGAGATCTTCTCATGTTTGGAGTGATTGAAGTAAAGTTTTGACTAATAAAAGAGAATAAATATTCTTTGAAAATTATTGTCCAAATTCTTTAGATTGTGATATCATCACCCTCATCGGGGTCCACCTCGGGGTCTATAGACCCCGGTAATGTTAAACTCCGAAACATGTCATGTAGTTGTAGTCCTGCAAATGGAAGATCAGTGAACTTTCTTAATTGTATAATTTTAAATTAATTTTTTAACTGAGGTTAAATATTTCGTTTAATTTGCTGTCGTTCAAGAGCTGTAGCTCGTTGTGATTCTTCTGTATAAACGTCTCCGACTCCGAGTGGAGTGCTGGACATACGATGATATGTCAAACGTCGCATGGCATCCGGCAGGTGGAGGAGACATTCCAAATAAGTAGCGAGTCGAAGCCGATCAGCCACATGGCGGCGTGGGGCGGCGCGGTGTGGCTGGCGCTGCACAACGCGGCCGTGCTGCGCTGCTACCGCGCCGCCAGCCGGGAGATGCTGGCCGAGATCAACATCACACCGCACGTCACCAAGATGCTGCACGGTAATAAACCCTCACCATCCACGCTCCACACACTGTCCACACTCCCACACACTCCTCACACTCTTCACACTCTGCACACTCCGTACACACCCGATATTTCCGTTAATTCTTCATATAAATGACCACAATTAAGTATGTTTAAAGAAAAAATTCAATTGTGCAATGACCAAACCCGATAGCAAAAAGCAATAAATAGCAAAAGGAATATACCATATAAAGAGATCGGTGAATATCGTAGTTTTCTACTTTTAAACACATTTTTAAAAGTTAGACAGTGGTGACTCGATTAATAATTTGTGATAGTATCGATTAATGAGTAGCTTTTTTCGACTCGGTGCGGCGAAGCGCATTTTCTGGGTCGCTGGGAACAGCGTATGTATTTAAAGTTTTTTTTTCTTCTTTAATGCTGTTGGCCGCAGTACAGCTTCACCAGACGATAGGGGCGTGTAGATGGCACTCCAAACCTGCGGAAGGACTTATGGAGCGGCTGAATACCAACTCCCACCTGACGGATTCGACTTCAGTCTGAGGGTTCGAACCTCGGCGCAGGCCGTCGTAATTTCAATACCCGTTTGAAGTGGACGAGGGATCGATCGGAAAGGGTTCAAAGCTTTTCGGTCCAATCTCAATATAAGATCCCTCAGTGAACCTGATTACCGTTTACTGAAACGGTAATGTAGTAGTACCCGGTCCTCTCGGGTGCAGTGAACGGTATGGTACATGTGTTGGTGTTACGCAGGCTGCGACGACATCATCCGGCAACACAAGGCGGCGTGTCTGAGAGTGACGGCGCTGCTGGCGCACGGCGGCTCGCTGTGGGTCGGGACCAGCGCCGGCGTGCTGCTGACGGCGCCGCTGGCCCGGGACGCCGCGCCCCCCGCGCTCGCAGGTACCGCCCCCGCCCCCACCCCCCGCCCCCGCCCCCCCGCCACCAGCGCCGGCGTGCTGCTGACGGCGCCGCTGGCCCGGGACGCCGCGCCCCCCGCGCTCGCAGGTACCGCCCCCGCCCCCACCCCCCGCCCCCGCCCCCCCGCCACCAGCGCCGGCGTGCTGCTGACGGCGCCGCTGGCCCGGGACGCCGCGCCCCCCGCGCTCGCAGGTACCGCCCCCGCCCCCGCCCCCGCCCCCCCGCGACCAGCGCCGGCGTGCTGCTGACGGCGCCGCTGGCCCGGGACGCCGCGCCCCCCGCGCTCGCAGGTACCGCCCCCGCCCCCGCCCCCGCCCCCCCGCGACCAGCGCCGGCGTGCTGCTGACGGCGCCGCTGGCCCGGGACGCCGCGCCCCCCGCGCTCGCAGGTACTCACACTCGCTCGCACGAATAAATTAACATCAATTCACAATTCCAGGAGTCCCCTACGGGCACACGGGACACGTCAGATTCCTGACCGTTGTCGAGAACCCTGTACCACCGAAGCAATCCACGCAGAAGTCGACGCAACCCTCGCTCAAGACGAAGGCGCTGAGTCGCCGCTCCGCCAACGCAGACAAGCTGCAGAAGCAAGCGGAAACTAGCCAGGTCAACCAGGAGACGCTCGTCATCTCGGGCGGGGACGGCTACGAGGACTTCAGAAGTTCCTCGAACACGGAGGACGCGGGCCGCGAGGATTCCACGAATCACTTGCTTCTGTGGAGAGTGTGAAGCGAATTGAAGCCTATTCCTTGGGTTCTAACTTTAGACGCTTCCGCAGAGAGGCCCGGCTGGATTTACTTTGGGATTGACGTAGGACGAGAGGCAGCGCGACCGCGCCACGCCGCGCCGTGGAGCCTCGAGTTCATATTAAATGTTTCGTGGAATGTGAATGTTAGTATTATTCCAGCTTTCATTTTTACATAAACGTTGTATGCTAATGGTTAAAATTATAATAAAAATATATGTTTGGCGCCCGCGAGCGTGGTTGAGATTATTAACTATTAGTTAGGACATGAAATGTCAAATATCACTATATGAATAAAGTTTATCAGAAAAAAGAGATTTATTTTACAGTAGCGCAGTATTATTGAAATTGAAGTAGATGTTGCGGCCGCCGTTGTAGCGGTGGGTAACGTGTCACTATATTTTTTACAATATTGTTAACCCGTTTTGGAGTCATTTACTGTATGGAGTCATATCAATGCAAATATTGCTATTCGTGTAGCAAACTGTTTATTGAAATAAGTATTAAAATATTGTGTGCCTAAAGTGTATATGAGGCGGTAGTAATTCACAGTAATATATTGTTGGCTATCATTACAATTACGAATCAAGTAAATTCTTATTGTCGTCTTATTAACGAGTTATAGGATATCCAATGTACAGTTACTTCTATTACATGTCACTATCACTAGATACTGTCTAAATGTCATAATTATGTTCGAATGTATTGTATGTAGGTGGCCATGAAGTAATTAGATAATATTCCGATCTGTTTAGCCTCGTATTGATGTTGGGACGCATGTTCCCGGTGGTAAATATATTTAGAAGTAGACAGTGTGATTGCTCAAAATCTGAACAATCTTACCTTGTTACACATAGCAGTTTTAGAGATACAAGTTTAATAAAATTATATTTACCAACGATGATGTATCCTGTATTCATAACAGCCGAGTAATAAAAGGATGTCACACTAAATGTTTTATTACTACATAATTCCAATTTCTCCAAATAGATAAAAAGGATATGATACCAGTCACACAATAAGTACGCACACACGCGCGGTCACACACACACACACACACACCCACTGCACTTACTTGGTTTCAGCCTGCAACTGTGGAAAAAACCAGCAAAAGCTGAGAGAGTGAGACGATAGTGAGAATAATAATATTTATTTCCAGAAAAAACATAATCAATTGGAAACTTAATTTTATGATATGACGTCAATATCCCATCATAATCCAGTATCCTTATCATCCAAGTCAGCTAACTACCTCACCTGAAAAGATCTGGTAAGATCTGAAACTCGGCGTGTAAGTATATTATTTAATATCTTTAAACTTTAAATAGTAGAAATGCATTTCTATTACTAGTTAATGTTTGGGAGGAGGGCATGTCATAATTTTATAATTACTTTAAATCACAGACAACATAATATTACATAGTCGGATGAGAAATAAAATATATATAAATCCCATTCGATAGCTGACATTCTTTTTTCTTATAACTCAAACGTGACTGACATAGTGATCTATCAACGCACAGCCCAAACCACTGGACGGATCGGGCTGAAATTTGGCATGTAGGTAGATGTTATGACGTAGGCATCCGCTAAGAAAGGATTTTGATTAATTCCACCCCTATGGAGATAAATTAACGCGAGCGAAGCCGCGGGCAAAAGCTAGTTAATACTATAAACTCGGAAGTTTATGAGTGTGGATGGATGCATGATTGGATGAACGTTTGTTTCTTTCTCATTCACGCAAAACATATAAATCAGGACACTTCACACAGCACCATCTAGACCCAAGATAAGCTAGCTAAAGCTTGTGTTATGGGTACTAGATAACTGATACATATACATAGATTATTTTTTTTGGTAAATAAATACATATTATACATAGAAAACACCCAGACCGATACAAACAATCATACTCATGAATACAAATGTTTGTGCCGTGCGAGGAATCGAACCCGCGACCATCGGTCGTAAAGCGGTGTGCTAGACCGCTAGACCACCGAGGTCGTCTAAATAATAATAGTAATATTAAATCATATTTTTTTACTACAATAAAAAAAAAATAAGACGTAGGCTAGGCTATAGGCCTAGTATAAATTATATATTTATGTAGAGTTTTAGTTATGCTACCTTAATTTTACTATACACGTTGATTAGAATATAAATGTATGACCTATTTAACGATGCTAGTAATGTCTGGTCGTCACAATGAAACTTGTGTTCTGTAGGAAACCGTACAGTGTAGTAGAGTTTATTATGAAGCTGAAGATAACGCTATTGACGGCTCCTCGCTCATTGTATCTCGATTGCTATTCAACTAATGCATTGTCTTACTTGGGTCTATAATGTTAACTGCGTATCTGATGTTCGATCTTGTAACAAAATCGAGTATTTTTATACTAAAGTTAAGCGGGTTTAACGCAATCTTAGCTGATGATGCGGTTACACGCAAGCTCAAATAGTGCCTTTCCGCTCTTGACTTTAAAGACCCAATGTTATAAGAGACAGGAAACACTGATGCTGGGAGAGAGTTACACTTTGCTGCTCCTATAAGGAAAGATGTTGCAAATCGATTGGTACGAGCAGCAGGGATGTCAACATTATATGGGTGGAACCTAGAGCCTAGCCTGTCTCGGCTATGTCTTGTTTTTTTTTTATTGATGATAATGAAATGTTGCACCCGCCTGCGCTAACGGTTTACGCTGGCGGGGCACCAGTGGAGGCTGATAAGATGAATATGAGGTCAGGTCAGTTAGCCTATCGTGACAAATTCACAAGGAATTTATCACGATGGTTTCCAGGGGAAATGCGTGAACATCAACCCGACATGGTACATTGCTAGCAATGGGGTCAACAGCCCACATTTCTAACAATCCCCCTTCCCCCTCCTACGTCTGGTTGTACGGTGGTACAGTAAATATACATGCAAATACCAATCTCTCCGAAGATAAATTGTTTAAATCTCCTAACATAATAAGGTTGAACAAAGAAATGCATTCAACAAATAGTTACTTTATTCAATTCTTTTACATATAAACATTATAATCTATTAAAAATATAATAAATAGTACATTGTCAATATCACTATACTTTTATATTAAACACCGATTAAATATTGGCGGTAAACTTATGTTCACAATTCGGTTAGGTTTTAATTGCATTGTGTAGAAATTTCATTGATAAAATCCTCCAAATGGTCGTCGATGTTGTTGGATTCGTCTGACTTTTTCCCCCTGCTCACGAAATACGGGTCAATTTGCAGCTGAGCCGCCAATTTTTTCAAAATTGTCCGTCTGTCTCTGTCGTTATCGTCCAAGGTTCTCTTGGTTTTATTTCCGTTATTTTTTATCGATAATAATTCAATGGTAGAGCAGATTAATTCCTTCGCTTTTTGTAATTCGTCTTGTAACTTTGTATAATTTGCTATTTTAACGTTTTCTACGTCTTTTTTGCCTCTAGCTATGTAGTAAGGGTCATTTCGGACTGATTTAACTATTTCTTCGATCGCACCACGTCTATCCCTTGCAATTTGAGACAAGTCATAGTTGATAGAATATTTTTTACCTCTTGAGATAAAATATGGATCATCCTCGGCGGAAGAACGACTACTTCTCTCAACTATGATGTAATGTGGCTCTTCTGCATACATTTGATTATCATGCACCGTACCAGGCTCTGAACCTTTCAAATTGTTTGCTATCCCTGTATTGTACATACTCGGTAAATGTGGTAGACGAGATGCCGTTCCGGTAAATATGCTTTTTAACTTTCTATCTCGCGACTTATTGGCCCAAAAAGAAGTTTGTGAGTCTTTCAACCGCGATAGATTTTCTATATTACCTTGTACATCGTCAATGGCGTCCAATAGTGACTGTCCCAAATCTTGTTTTCTTCTACCCCGACTGGCCCAAAAAATATCGGAATCTCTTCTGCCGCGATTAGCCCAAAATGGTTCAGATTCTTGTCTCCTTCCACGGCTGCCCCAAAATGGTTCAGATTCCTTTCTTCGACCTCTATTACCCCAAAATGGTTCGCTTTCTTCTCTCCTCCCACGATTACCCCAGAAAGGTTCAACAACGTCACGTCTTCCACGGTTACCCCAAAAAGGAATATCTTGGCGCCTACCTCTATTACCCCAAAATGGTTCGTCGTCCCGTCTACCTCTATTACCCCAGAAAGGGGAATCATCTTGTCTTCGACCTCTTGTACCCCAAAACGGATCGTCTTCTTGTTTTTTTCCTCTATTTCCCCAGAAAGGACCCGGGGACAAGTCTTCAACTTCTTCGTTACTGCGCCTACCACGGTTGCCCCAAAACGGCTCCTCAATATCTTCTCTTCTATGCTTTATATTTTCAGTTAATTCATCATATCTATCATTTGTTGGAAAACAGTTGCTACAGTACTTATTAAGAAATACAGGATTACTATTGAAATCTCCTGAATTTTCAATATCATATACTTTATCTTGAATAGTGTCAAAGCGCTTAACTCTATTTGCTCCAAATGGCAATCCTTTTGTGAGTTTGTTATCATAGTCTGCCGTAGTCTTGTAGTCATGAATATATTTCTGTCCCCCACTAGGTTTCTTCAGTTTCCTCTCGTCCTCATCATAAAGTGACCTTTTTATACGGTCACCATTTGATCTGACGCTGTTGTGTTTGGTTTGGCCGAGTTTTGCTATCTTTGCCTTATTAGCGCCGTTACCAAGAACAATATTAGTCGATATGATTAATAGAAAGAGAAGAAATATATACAGCTTTTTACGCATCTTGGTGCTATCTGAAAATAAAAATTCCAATTAATACATGTTTAAAATTTTTATTAAACATATTTAAGATTTGTTCACACTACTTTAGACAATTTAGTATAACTTTTTTCAGTAGCACATAATGATGACATACTACATATGTCATGGACAAGTAATTTAGAAGAAAACTCGAAAACTGCAATCAAATACAATAATTGTAATTGTTATGTTAGTTTTGATTCCTGAAATATATCTAGTGTAATAAAGATTATATCATCATTACATAGTATAAAATAAAATCGCTGTTGCTGTCTGTCTCTATCTATGCTTATATCTTTAAAATTATGCAACGGATTTTGAAGCGGTTCTTTTTAATAAATAGAGTGATTCAGGAGTAAGGTTTATATATATAATACATGTACACCCGTACAAAGCCGGGGCGAGTAGCTAGTAAATAAAAACAGTAATTCGTACTGAAAATTCTGTGAGATTCTAACACGCTGTTAATGATTCCTTTTGATATCAATGGATAGAAGTCCAATAATTAATAATATTAAAAAAAATTAAATTATTATTTTTTTTAACAAATTTATTGAAAAAAACTGTACTTACATTTTACAGACGATGTTGCCAAATATCATATTTTTACTGCAATAATCGTAACTGTATGTTGTATACAGCTACTACCGATGTGAGCTTCTGTCTGGGGTCTCAAGCTCTCTCCTGCAGCTTTTATAAAGGGCGTGCGAGTAGGCGAGCTCCCCAGGGCTGTCAGAATAGATTCCATTTGTTGCTTTTTTGTTTGTTCTGTAATCCTGGTGGGAGCGAGTGACTGTTATTAAATTAAAACAACGCTCCGTGCCTATTGCTTCTGACTTGTGTTACGGGACCGACGTAAAGGGGTAGTTCTTGCCTCGATCTTAAGTTTATGTATGAAATAAAATATCAATTAAAAAAAATACAATTTGTATGTATATCTACATTAGAAATTAGTAACCCGCTCGTGGTTGATACGAGTGCAATTATATGTTTAATTATTACAAAACAAAGTAGCTGTTGTTCTCTGTTCACTTTATATATTTTAAATTAAGCAACATATTTTAATGCAGTTTTCATTAATAGATAGAGTGATTCAAGAGGAAGATTTATATGTATAACACGTGCACACGTGCAAGGCAGGGGCGGGAGCTTGTTGAAAATAATAAAGGTCTAATAAATTACTCGCTGTACAATGCAGCTTTCTTGGAAATTATTAAGTTTATTAGTGATTTTCAAGTTATCTATCACAAATAAAAAATGTATTACACTTAAATTAGATTAAATTACTCGTATGTACATAAGGAACTGACATAAACAAAAGAGGTCACAGTTATTGTTAAAGTTTAACTTGTTTAATATACATTAAAAAACCGGGTCTTAACACGAATAATAGAAATAGAAATAGAAATAATCTTTATTCAAATAAACTCATTACAAGCACTTTTGAATAGTCATATTTTGATTCTACCACTCATTCGGAATGCAGATTCATCACAAGAAGAATGAGCAAGAAACTTGTGTGTTGCTCTTTTTAATAGATGTTTTTTTTTTATAAATAATTACAGTATAACAAGTAAGAGGCATGCGATAATCAACATAGAAGTCGCTACGCACTCATTATTAATGTAATCAGATAATATTGTCAGTGCTATAGATTCAAAGTTTTTCTATAAAAACATTATTATCGTTAACGAATTCTTCAATTTTATAGTAAGCTTTTTTGCAAAGGAACTGTTTTATTTGACATTTAAACCTTTTTTCTGGCAGATTTATAACAGACTCTGGTATTTTATTGTAAAACCTTACGCAATTGCCATAAAACGAATTACTAACTTTAGCCAAACGACATTTAGGTAAAATCAGTTTGTTATTGTTACGTAAGCTTTAATTAGTGCAATCACTAACTCTTTTGTCAAAAACTGTCTGTATTCCTTCTGGCATAGATGATATTTTAATAAGGCATCAATAGTCGATAAGTGTACGGATGCTGTGAGTGCTATGTGTCGGGAACTTTCGTTGAACAATCTAGTGACGGTAGATGAAAAAACTGCCATCACCTATCTACTTTACATTGACATCGCATACTCAAGTCAGCTCGTGACCACGGCTAGTGCAACCTAGTCGAAACGTCGAGAGATGTAAATACCTTTATCTTATATATAAAATTCTCGTGTCACAGTTTTCGTTCCCATACTCCTCCGAAACGGCTTGACCGATTCTCATGAAATTTTGTGAGCGTATTGAGTAGGTCTGAGAATCGGCCAACATCTATTTTTCATCCCCCTAAATGTTAGGGGTAGTCCACCCCTAATTTTTATTTTTTATTATTTAGACAAAATTTTTAGTTTCTATTTTTTTATGATACAACATACAAAAATACATACAAACCTAAATTTTCACCCTTCTATCATCAACCCCTATTTTTTATAGCGTTATTAATTTATATGGCAAAACAATGTTTGCCGGGACAGCTAGTTTACCATAAAATTATTCGAGTTAAGACAGGGTTAATAATTTTAAACATAAGATGTGACAATATTTGTCTGCAACCCTACTTTACTATATGGAAATTTGGGTCGGAAATTCAATGAATATGTTATTTATTGAAATTTTGGTTTATTTTTACAGATGTCGATGATATTGATCTTGATCTTGACCCTTGAAATCATTGAATTTATCAACCAGAAATCGCAAAGAAGTAATATTATTGATATGTAAATATTCTGGTCTATTTATACATTTGTACTCTCTCTTGATCTCTAAAGATGAAAACACACTTATCGGGATGTGATCACGCCTAGTGAAGCCACAATGCCTCCATTTAATCTGATCACTAGTAATATTGATGATGTGTTATAGAATAGGATAGAATAACATTTATTACATCACACATCACAACACAATAAAAACGATGCTGACAGCTGCGTATAAATTATTATATGAGTATAAATATATATAACTCAAAGGTGACTGACATAGTGATCTATCAACGCACAGCCCAAAACCACTGGACGGATCGGGATGAAATTTGGCATGCAGGTAGATGTTATGACGTAGGCATCCGCTAAGAAAGGATTTCGATTAATTCTACTCCCAAGGGAATGAAACTTTGTCAATTTTAAACCAATTGGGCTGAGACTTTGCATGCATTAAGCTACTATGATGTAGGCATCTCCTAAGAAAGTATCTTGATAAATTTCACCCCCAAGGGAATATATTAACGTGAGCAAAGCCGTGGTCAAAAGCTAGTATAAGATAAACGTAAATAAAAACAATGCATTAAATTAGATATAAAATCATTATACATAGAAAAAAAATAAAAAATGAACAACAGAGTAACAAACAAATAAATATAGAAAAATCACTCTACACCACCCTTCAAAAGGCGGCCATTTTGAATACCTGTAGAACTGTACGAAAATTTCTGGTAATAAACGTAAATGAGTAAAAATAATGAAAATAGGTAGATGTTTGAACAGACGTTATTTATTGCAGAGCGCAGTGGCAGAAGTATTATAAAATAAAAATTATACAAAAAGCATCATATTTTGAATATGGATAAAAAGAATACAAAAACTGCCAGTGACTCTCATTGTAGGTCATGGCACTAGAACATTCGGGAGCACGGATCACGTCAGATTCAGTCGCTACAATGCTTCTCAATAAAATACGTCTGTTAAAACTCTACCTATTTTCATTAATTTTTACTAAATGACAAAACACCTATCACGTAAATTAAAAGGTTCACAATATATACATACACACACACACACACACACGGCACTTACTTGTTTTTGGCCCGTAAGAGTGGTATACGCTGTAAAAAGTAAAAATCCAGCACAAACAGCACATGCAAATAATTGTATTAATGAGTATGATTGTTTGTATCGGTCTGGGTATCTATGTATGTATGTGTTTACAAAAAAATATCTATATATTTATATCAGTTGTCTAGTACCAATAACACAAGCTCTGCTTACCATGGGACTAGATGGCGCTGTGTTAGTTGTTCAGGGTTACTTATTTATTACTAGCTGTTCCCGCGACTTCGTTCGCGTGGAATTTAGCTTTATTTTTCTAAAATATAAGTAGTCTAAGTTACTCCTTCTTACAGTAGCTACCTGCCAAAAAATGTCCCGTCAAAATCGGTTCAGCCATTTCAGAGATTAGCCGTAACAAACAGGCAGACAGACAGACAGAAATTGTAAGAAATGTTATTTTGGTGTATGTACCGTATTTATATTCATATGCATGTAGTAAAAAACGGTTATTTCAATATTATTTATAGTTCTCTGGCGGTGTCCCGGAGTGCTCCACGCTCGATATTCCGATCGCGTATAGAAATAGAAATAATCTATAAATAAGTTTGTTTATAAGCACTTTTATAATATTTTTTATGATTCAACCGCGAGTTTCGGAATGTTGTTATCTGCCGAGGAAGAATCAAAATATTTATTTAGCTGCACTATTTGGCAGATGAGTGGAGAAGTCTTCAATATATCGTTTGCGATGATTATTAGCGACTTTCGATATAATCTATACATATATATAAAATTGGAGAGTCTGTTTGTAATATTGAAATAACCGTTTTATACTACTTGCATATGAATATAAATACGGTAGGTACATACACCAAAATAACATTTTTTACAAGTTTTGTCTACCTGTCTGTCTATCTGTTTGTTCTGGCTAATCTCTGAAATGGCTGGACCGGTTTTGACGGAACTTTTATTGCAGGTAGTTGATGTAATAAGGAGTATATTAGGCTACTTTTATTTTAGAATAATAAAGTTAAATTCCACGCGGACGTAGTTGCGAGTAGCTAGTAATTAATAATTACACTTATGACATGTTTTTTTTTTTTATAACACAGGGGACAAACGGGCATGCGGCTCACCTGATGGTAAGTGATTACCGCCGCCCATGAGCACCCGCAACACCAGGGGAATTGCAAGTACGTTGTCGGCCTTTTAAAAAGGAATAAGCTCTTTTCTTGAAGGTTTCAATATCGTATCGGTTCGGAAATACCATTGCTGGAAGGTGATTACACAATGTGGTTGTGCGAGGCAAAAAGTTTCTAGAAAACCGCACTGTGGAAGGCCGCCATTCATCCAGATGATCAAGATGGTATTTCAGTTTCTGGCCGGTGGTACGGTAGTGAAACTCAGCAGCTGGTATTAATCCGAACAATTCCTCAAAACACTCCCCGTGATATATGCGGTAGAAATTCTTTTATTTTTTTTATAGTCTCCTTATTATACTTTAGAAAAAAAAATCCGATCTGAAAGGGCTAAGGTGGTGCTTCGTGTTAAGATTTCCCGGACGTCCGGCGTCCGCGGGCGACAGTGACGGCCGCGCCGCGCCGGACGGCTGGATATTCGTTTCGTTTATGATTAAGGTTAAACCCTAGTGACTTAGATTCCTAGCACTGTGCAGTGTACACACTATTACATAATATCTCAGGACAATACACAGAGCGATCTAGTCTATTTTATTATTTCATTGAATTAGTGCTAATCGGTATTTGTATTCACACACTTAAACTTAAATTGTAAGTAAGAATAAATTATTTAAAAGAGCAACACACAAGTTTCTTGCTTGTTCTTCTTGTGATGAGACAGCATTCCTAATGAGCGGTAGATTAAAAAAAAAATGTTATG